TTGTAGGATGTAATTATAGGCATACGGTAATTAAATGGTACAGTGTTACGCACGCTAAGTCAGCATCTAGTTACAATACTGTTTAATTATATTCTAGTTAAATATAGTTTTGGTGATATTTATTCTAGAAATTTCTATAACATCGACCTGATATTGAGTGTTTCAGATGAATGTAATTTAAATCAATTTGTAAAATTTACTACAGACATGATTTACACAATTTTAATTATCTTAATATTGATAGAGTAATAAAAGGTGGTGGGCCAAGCCCCACAAACGGCTGAAGATCGAGGAGGATCGAGAAGAAGAATGATGTAGACGAGTATCAGAACGCTTTCTTACTAAAATCTCATTATTGTATTAAAAAGAAATATGAAACAGTCCGATAACGACTAGATCTAATCAGTCATCACTCTCATCTTAATGGAAAAGTAATGTTAACGTTACGAAATAATTAATCGTTCACGTTACCTCACGACATTTATCTAATTAAACAAGGTACTGACCTCGGCTAACACATCTTTGTGTCAAGGCTTTAGAATCTTATCAAACGATAAGAAAAATAACATAAATAAGGACACCTAATAATTGTTTGTTTTAAAGATATACGCCATGGTTGTTACTATCTATGGCATTTAAAATATATCCTTTTAAGATGTTTGTTAATGTAAATATAGCATACATTTAAAAAAAATACATGTAGGTTATATTATGCTGTACAAAGACCGTGATTATAATTAATTTAATATTTAAAACGCCTGTGAAAAAAATATTGCAATTATTTAATTCCTTGCAATTGCTATTTAATAACTAATTATAAAGTGTTGATTAACATGTACCGCAATTAAAATAATAGTAGTTAAGATAATAATTTACGGAGCCCAAGAGTGTTAGAACCCATTTTAATAAAATCAAATTATCTTGGATTTTGCCGAAGTGGGTAATAATGGACGAAAAATAGCGAATTCGAGCATTAAATTGAATAATTTGCACGGACGAGGCTCAGGCAAATGAGATTGAGGATAAGCGAGTTCCCATTTGAAAAAAAAACCGAAAGCTTATGGAAAAATACAAGGCTTTCATTATAGTTGATTCTTGTTTTCATTCTACTCGAATAAACATTATTTCTCTTTTAATTACTACACTATTACTTGAATCATTACAATAGAGAATTACAGGAAGTATTTCATGACATTATTCACTTAACATCACGAAAGTAGCACAATAAGTAAGATAAAGCTGGAATAGCAAGAATCGACACTTGTCAGTAGAATTGAAGACTTTTAGTTAAATTTTTGCTTACACTCGATTCACAGGCTAAGCGTTGCGAATCGGTAAATAGGGTTGCCAACAAAGCAAGATCATTTAACAAATATTTTAATTCATAGTTATTAACTATTAGGACAAGCTAGCGAACTATCAAATAAATTATTTAATATTCTTTTTCTATAGAATTGATAATGTAGTCCGATAAAATATCTAATGACAATTTAGTCATAATAATTGGCACAGATAAATGCAACAGAAATATGAGTGTTTTTGATTCTTGTTACTTTGGATTAATTAGTAGAAGGGGGACGAATAAGTACAAATACGCTGTGGATTAAAGGCGGACGGCCGTCCGCAGTTTTTGCTTCTTTCTTAGATATCGGTCGTTGAGTGAGTGTCGCCCGGAAGCTGGTGTTGCCACAAGCGTCCCACAATTGTATTTTGTCTATTGCTGGTATTTATAGATTATTATTTATTAATTTAACTATTAATAATTATATTTTACATTTTAAGCACTAAAGTTAACCAGTTATCAACAACAGTGATAAGGTTAAACCATATAACGAAATTATATCAAGTTCGTTCAAGATGTTATACTTTTGACAACCCTGACTAGACAGTTCCTTGTAGCGCTACGATGCTACGAAGCTACGAAGGATTTTGGTTCGACAGATACGTGATGTGAGGTTTTAAAAAGCACATCGAAGTAATAGGAACTACGAGTATATTAAATGTTTCTTTCTGCTATTGATAAAACTTAACATTAATTTAATATTACTTTTAACTAGGATTACAAGATTCTAGTCCAGAATTTAAGCCGTGTTTTGTCTGATTTTTACAGTGTATATAAACTATTGTAAGAATTTTAAGAAAGATAACGGCAAACTATTTAAAGACCTAATACCTAATAAAAATCTCTTAGCAAAATTTATTTACAGTCTCTCGTGATTCGTCGATCACTCAATCGACTTCAAGTATCAATTCACCTTTGTTTCTTAGCGCCGTTTGTCTGGATTTATGTCTCATTTAAAAAGGCTATAGGAGAAGAATTGGAATGTATTTCACATAAGAGATAAAACATTTAGTGATGCTAAATAATGGAGTGATTTTAGGTTATTTTATTATTAAATAAGAGTAAAAATTACTGCTGTAGATAATTGAGATATTATTTTATTAATTTCTTCGTTATCGATTTAAAAAGTAGTGGAGTGTTTTTTATTTATTTGGCGTTAATTAAAAAGAGCAAATTTTGATTAAATGTTGATGCATTGTTTTTAGGTTATGTTTCTTCACATATAGTGTCTCCTTTTATTATTGGCACGTGTTGAATCTGACAACAAGGGTGACAAAACCAGTAGTTGACACTTTTTAACTTAAAATTATAAGGGCCTGTCTCACCACTGGATTTAGATATATTAAAAATAACGTCACTGTCAAATAAGGAAACAAAATCTGATATTACCATCACATATTTTACATGTTCCAT